CTTGGTTTGTATCTGTCTATCAAACTAAATAGGTTTTATCTCCCAACTCAGGCACTAGCTACCTCATTCTGCATATTGTCCGAAAATGGGGTCAAAAATTGTCTTGGTTTGTACCGTTCTATCATTTTATATAGGTTTTATCTCCCAACTCAGGCACTATCTCACTATGCATATTGTCAAAACTTTGTTTGCAGGATTGGAATAAGTTATTTACAGCAACGCGCGTATATGGAGGGAAATGGACACCGCCATCTTATAGAGTGGGAAAAATAGAAGGGGATAGAATATAGTTTAAGATGTATAGGCCTTATAAACACCACTAAATGACGAAACTTTCAAATTCAGTCGATGAGCTTGTTTACCTTGCGAAGAAAAACACAACACTGACCCACGAACGCACTTTTGCATTCGCGAACTAGTCCTTGTATCATTACGCGCTTGTCAAAAGGATATTTGGCTAATTATGTGTCTGCTGGTACACATTTATGCCTTTAAAGTCTTTTAGTAATGCTTTTATACTTCATTTACATATTTTAATATTCATCTATACCCTCATATAGAATCCTGTGCATCGAGTGGTTCACACTTTCTTGGCCAGCCACAGGTTGAGAGCTCACTAGCCCGTTCATTTCGAGCTTGAAAGCCGGTGAGAAATGTTGCGTTTCCAGTGTTGTGTTGATTCTGGGTTCTTTTTAAGACTTTTACAGTGGCATCAAAAAATAATTGGACTTTAGTAACCATCCCAGTTTTATATCTGAGCCCATCAAGAGCTCCAAGGTGATTAAAATTGAAGCAATCCCAACAGTACAAAGAAACAACGAAAGTTTCATGTTTCCGGATATAAAGGTATTTGGTTTATTATTTTACAGTGTGAATGCAACTCTGTCTTGCTGTACATACCGTAGTGGAGAAAATGTGTCCCGGGGGGTGTTGGGGGGCTTGCCCTCCATCAACCCTCCCCTCAGACAGTGCCCTAAGGGCAAGCCTATTCATGGCAATGTATATTGATATATTAGGTTGGTTTATTGGTCAATATGTTTTTTGGAGGATTGGAATGTGTGAATTCCCATAGAGTTTTGCCAAAATGTGGGTTGGATTCCTGCAGAGTTTTTGATTTCTGGCGCGTCAGCCTGTAGAATTTTAAAGATGACGGTTACATCCATACAGTTTCATTGGCTGATTTTAAACATTTTTTGTGCAAGTTTTATGCATTTTTTATTGTTATTTTTCTTATTTAAGCTTGTTTTACCCCATAATTTCCCTGATATACTTCATGCCCTCCCCTGCTAACAGGACAATCAAATCAAGATCGTAAATGGAGAAATGGTACTCGATCTCCTGAATGATTCAATCGCAGAAGAAACAACACCGATAATCAATGAAATCATAGGATTTCATGCAGAAAAACATAATCTTTTTCGACTTAGTCTCTGGGAGGGTGTGTCACTCTCTGTAACAATTACCACAGGATTAATACAGGAACGCTCCTGTGAGAAAGTTGGAAGGCATTCAATGATGGAGTCACATATGTAAAGATAACAAACACTTGAAAAAGATAAGGAAAAAATGCAATATCCCTTTAAAAACCATAATAATTGAAATGTATATGATTAATATTATTTGTGTAGTTGACTACTCTTTTCTTAGCAGACTACAGACACACTTGCCATGCCCACTTCGCTGATTTCTTAACAATACATATCCACTTCTACTAGCAACCAAGTTGAAATTGAAGCTACCTCAGAGTTATCCTAGAAGAAATGCTCATATGACTGCCCCTTTGAATAGATTTACTAAGTTTCACAATGAAAGTTCCTTAGGCTTCTTCACTCATTTCTATGTATTTTTTGTTTGGTGGCTGGTTGAAACAATGCCTATAGACCAATTCGGTGCGACGTCACGTGTTGGAGTCGCCATTCCACTTGGTGAAAACAAACCCATCGCTCGCAGGTACCTCGCTATCAACGTGAAGGAAAATGGCGTATGAATTCTCTGATTCTTCAAAAACCGTAGAGAAAAGGTGATATGAAGCAAAACTAGAAGCTGTGTAGCTAAAAGAGTAATCATACCGAAATCTGAATTGACGATCCTTTGAAATAACCTAAAATTGAATATTCTGACATCTACGA